AATACTAATGATGATAAAAGTCAAGTTTTTTAATTTAATAAAATTTTTAATTGAATAAAAATTGCAGTAAAATTAATGCACATAACTATACAGTAATTTATATATATATATTTAGATAAAATGATTGTAAATTTTTTTGTTTGAAAACCAATCACATAATTGATTAATTAGTTTTGATAAAATAATATTATATATATACAGTATATTGTATTATTAAAAAAWATATATTGCAAATAACTGATAACAATGCGGTACTAAAAATCAATACAACAATAATATTATTACTTTATAATATAGTAGTAATAAATAATTATATTAATTATTTGTCATTTTCCGGCCTTATATAATATACAATATATAATAATATATTAAATATAAAAACATTTATAAAAATCAATGCCTTTTCAATAATTTTATTGTGTTTTTGTTTCTATAAAACATGATAATCATATCTGAATTTAATATAATTTTTTTTGATTGCATTATTACATTTGTACAGTATATAGATATGCACTAAAAGTTTTCATAAAATAAATTATTTGCAAAATTGATTAAGTAGTCAAATACAATATATAATTTCAAATTTATTATATTTGATGTTGAAAAACATGCATTCAATAAAATGTTAATTTCAATTTTTTTTTTAATAATTTATTAACTAAAAAGTCAATTTATTTTTAAACTTATTTGATTATAACTATCTATCCAAATGTATTTATACAGTACTGGTATATCCAATAAATCTTTAGTTAAATTAGCAATTATTGGCCACAAACTCAGGTTTGTCTATCATTAGAGCGTAACCTGAAATAGTTTTTTAGACTAAATGAGATAAAAAAATTAAATATATATTGAATGTTGTTGGAAAAAATAACATTTAAAAAAGTAATTGATTGATAAATTATAGTCAAATTGCGTTTACCATTTAGTGTTGGCCGGTGTTATCAATGAATGGCATCAACAAAATAACAGCAAAAAAATAAGTCATAATCAATGAAATACTGGTGCCTTTTAAATGACTACATTTAGTCATTTAGTCGCTTATCTATTGGTTTGTTTTGTTTGTCTTACTTTTCTATCTCTCTCTCTTTCTCTCTCTCTCTCTCTCTCCCGACTTATATCGTTAGTACACCAATGGATATCCTATTTCTATTGACAAAAAAAATTATAATTATAAAAGTATATATATATATATATAATTATTTTTAAAAATGCTGTATTTATTGCCATCACGAAAAAACATTAAAACTATTAAATATTTTGTTTGTTTTTTTAATTTTATAAATATTAAACTATTGAGAGTATCATTATGATTGGTGTCGGGTCACAATCAATTATATTAAAATATTATATTTGAAATATATTAATATATATATAATGTATTTTTAAAAATTCATTCATTGATTATTTGTTATCTGATGTGAGTTTTGTTAGTTTTTTTATGTGTACCGACTGATTGTGTAGAAAATTATTGGAGAAATTGTTTTAAATTAATTAATTTCTGGTTTCCTATCGATTTGATTAACAGAAAAGTTAACGAAAAAATATTATTATTATTTTTTGGTATTTGAAAATATCATACATAAAAATTATTTTATCATATTATTGGGTATGCCTTAGAGTGACAAAAATTTATTGAGATTAATAGCAATAATAATTGAAATAAATGTTTTCAAATTATATTCAATTCATATATAATTTTTCTTCTTCTTTGATATTTTTCTTTTATTGATAACTTTGATGTTTCGCATTAATATACAGTATATATAAAATATTTTTTATTTTATTTAAAAAAAAGAAAATAAAAATATATTTATTAGTTTGGATAATAAAATTAAATGATAGCACCGATTGATATCATTAAATAAGTGGCATTTTTATGGCATCGTTTTTATTTGACTTTTATTGATAGCGGTCATCATCAGCCATCATCATTATTATCATCATCAGCAACAACAACAACAACAAACACCGACACTCAAAATGGGCATAAAATATAAGAGAAACACTAAGAAAAATATAGATAATAAATAACATTTGAGGAAATAAATTAAATGGCCATCCAGGTCCTATTTAAAAAGTCATTTTATTATTATTACGATGCTTTAGCCAACACTGTGAAAATGTTGAGATAACGCAATACCAGAAAAATAAAATATATCTAATATATAGTAAATATATATATAGTATATCTACTATATATATATATATATATATATACTGTATATAATGTTTGACCCACGATTTGCTTCCCATATATGATATCACACATAACAAGACACACTCAAGTGTTGTACCAAAAAAAAAAGAAACGCTATTTTAGTCGATACAACAAATGTTTAGCTAAAATAAATAGCATTCAATAATATATCGCTGAATACCAGTGCCTGAGATTTAACATAACTTTTCTTTCATATATACTATATATATATATATATATATATATATATATTGAAAAAATATTTGGTGATAATGTTTTTCTATATATATAAATATGATACTTATATATACATCAATATATAGCACATATACTTATATATATATATATAAATTTACTGTTAGTATTTGGCCCATAAATAGCCATTTATTGCTGATTAATATTCGTGAGGTGGTGTTGCAAATCATAGTAACTTATTTATAAGTGCCATATATTTCATAGGAGAAAATAAAATAAACATTTTTGTATCTTATATTACGGTACATAAATTGTATATGATTTGTACCCCCATTGAAAACAAATAACATATATTTATTATATGTTTTATATATGTTATATATATATATATATATACAAAATTCTGGTGGCCATCGACTGGTGCCCCAAAAATAATGGATAAAATAAACTAATCGTATGAACGAATGAATGACTGAATGGATATATAGTTTAACGGTTTGATCAAAACATAGTCACACTTATATATACCGTATATTTTTGTTAAAGAAAATCAGTGTATAAATGACTAAAAGATGATTTGATGCGGAATGTAGTCATGTTTTCATTGATATGTCACACATACACACACACACACACACAACATATCGGTGCCCTATTGATGATTGTCCCGTCACGTAACTGATTTAATAAATGCCTATTATTTTTGCCGATTGCCTGCCCACACATCCACAGCGCCGACACATTTTGATTATATAAAAGTTTCTCTCTATTACTCTGGTATTTAACGATACGTTTTCTTAAGACTCGTTGCTGTTGTTGTAGTTTTCAGCCCTTTTTGAAGGAGCTGTTCATCATTTGGTGACTTGACTTTTGTGTTCAGTCGACTGAATCTTTCACTCATTTTTTGCTCTCTCTTTCTCTCTCTCTCTCTCTCTCTCTCTCTTACATCACATTAAATGTTTGTTAACCATTATTATTATTATTATTATTATTATTATTATTATTATTATTATAAGATTGTATTTCAAACATTGGTATTCTCACAATAAACATGAGAGTGCGATACCAACTCAATATATTTGTACTGTATTTTCATTATAAATAAATAGTCAATCTTTGTATAGTTAAATGTCTCATATGAGAGATGAGATGCTTTTCAAGTAATATTTTTAATACAAAAACTTATAATACTGTATAATACACTGATATTTCGTATATGATTCACACAATGTATGATAATAATAATATTATTTTTATTTTTATTATTAGCCATTATGTGTTAACTATGAATTATTGCAAAAACAAGTGATTTATTGGCTAATCAAATAAAATTTTAATGAAAAATTTTAGAAGCAATGAAAACAATTTTTAATTAATTATTGATAAAATAAATTTGAAAACCAAACCAATGATTACTGTATTTAATGATAGTGTAAATTATATGAATGTATTAAAACGCAAAATAATGTAGTATTGGATAGTTTAACAAAAAACTTTTTTCTCAGACAATTCATACACTATTTAACGATATCTATTAAGTTTGTTTGAATTCATCACTTATTTTTTGGAAATAAAAACAAAAAAAAAAATAATACAGACATTTCCTTTTTTAAAAATATGATTTGAATTTTGATAGTACTCTGAAAAAGGCTATTAAAATAATAGTGGCAAACGATTTGTTTGTCCGCACGTATACCTCACGAGAAAATAGGACTTTTGCTTTCCATCTCCCGGTTCTCTATGTCTCTCCCATTCCCCTCACAAACTCTCTGTTCATTCAATCTTTCACTGGACTGGCATTTCATTTATTCATATGAGTGACTGTTTTCATCATCCAAATCGTTTGATGATGTTTTTCTAACAGTCCTCTCTCTCTCTCTCTCTCTCTCTCTCTCTCTCTCTCTCTCTCTCTCTCTCTCTCTTATTTACTTTTGGATGAATGCTATCATTTTCATACAATGTTTTTTATTTTGTCGGACAGTTAGCACATCAAGTGAAAGACGATCAAAGTCTTTATCGACGTTTTCCAATATCCTCTTATTGTGTGTGCAATGAGTGCGTGTCAGTCCTCCCTATCCTCTCAAATGGTGTTCACTTTTTTTCACTTGATTATGCCATTCAAACTATCATTACTCATGTATTCCCCCGATTTGTCCACTATTTATGACACCCATTATTATTGTGTGTGTGAATACACACCTAGTTTTATGATTTTTTTTTGTATAACTTTTTGTATATATATCATACAATTATATCGCTAGCTATTTATTTTATCACTTTAAATATTCATCTGATTTGTTATCTTATTTTACTGTGTGTTAAATAAAGTTATTTTTACTATTAATTAATCTCACAAATAGATTATAAATAAAAATATCATATAATATTTATAAATATATCAATAAAGTTTAACACATATATACTCTGATATGATGTCCAATCCTCTTATATTATGTTAAGCTAATTAATTGACATCATTTTAAATTTGATAGATAAATATTATAGATTTTTTTCCTAAAAAAAAGTTATTTTGATTAATTTAATTTATTATTAATACTATTGATAATTATAAGAAAAAAAATCTAATTTAAACATATATTTATAGTTTCTCCGTCTGAATGTGTGTCCGAAACGGTTGATCTCACGCCTGAGGCTGAACTGACTTCTAGGCCACTATCCAGTGACCCAACAGGTACTTAACACAACTTCTTTTTATTTATTTTTTTTGGTCATATTTAATGTCAAATATGTTTGTAATGACATAAATAAGATACTTATCATTATTATGGTATTTCAGAGTCTCCCTCACCTGAAGACAGGAGGAGTCATCAAAACAGGAGCGTCGAGTCGGCAAACGATCGCAACGAACGAAGCGGTGGACATCAAGTGAACGGCGATCGGCACTCGGAAGATGAACTTTCCGATGAATGCAGACAACAATCACACGGCTCTCTCAACTCTCCCGAACATTCGGGTATACCGAATGCTACCACATTGAGCACTGGTAGCAAACTGCTGGGCAATGGCATTGGTGGTAGTGGTATAGTCAAGTACAGCAAGACTGGCAATGTTTACCACTGCAAGTCATGCAATTATGCCACCGATAAAAAGGCACTTCTGTTAAAGCATATCAAGTCATCGCATCCGACAGTAGTACAGACACTACAATCCAGCGGACAGTTGTCGTCGACGACAGTACCACCAGTTGTTGTTACACACAATAACAAAATGCATACAACGATGACTACGACCACTGATGAAAGCGACGACACCAACGATTATCATCAGTCATCCGCACCACAGGACAGATACTGTAGTAATTGTGACATACAGTTCAACTCATTTAAAACATATAAAGTATGCACACAATTAAAACATTGATTTTTACCCATTTAAAAAAAAACTCTTATTAGTTAATTATTTTGTTATTAAACTTATATTTTTGCATATTTATCTACTGATATAATTAAATTAAAATCAGTTTTTTTCATTATTCAATATTATACTGTAATTAAGTGTTTAAATTTGAAACATTCACACACACACACACAYACACACACACATACACACACACACACACATACACACACACACATGCATAAACACAAACACACACACACACACACAGTGTATTATCTTAGTTAAACATATACAGGATATTAAACATTTATGATTGATAAGATATATCGATATCATTATAAATATCATTATATATATTATATTCAAGGAACAAAAAAAGTTACATTTCATATTAAATACATTTTCATATTATAATTTATTTTTTATTTATTTTTTATTTAAAAAATTAGATATTATAACAAACGAAGTATAAAATGTGACAATTTTTCAATACACAATGAAATGCATGCGATAAACATATTATAATCATATCATATATATTGTGATAATTTCAATGCATTGGTGTCTAAAATTAATAATTTTTATTATCATATCTTATTATATTATTTATAATAACTTGTTATCAGATCTTTACTTTTCTCTCTTTATACTATATATATATTATCACAAACTTGCAATTTTATTTTGAAAATTTTTTGATAATATTTATAGTGTTAGTTTTAGTGATTTTAGTTTTTTTTATAATAATAATAATAATCAACTTATATATTCTGTACTTTCAGCCGTGACTTGAGAGATAGATAAATTGATTATCAATATTGAAAACAAAATACACATTATATATCTATATATTTTTACATACATATCAATTTATGAACAGATTAGTTAAATTTATTTTTTTTCAAAAAAAAAATCAAATAAATTAAATATTATATTTTATTATGTGTACGTATACATAATATTAATAGTATTCATAACAACTTTAATATAATTAAATTTGATTTTTGTATGACAGTCAGAAAGTTTGGAAAATATATATAAATTTTTATTTAATATAATAATAATAAAAAAATGTTGATATTTCCGGGCTGTCGTAGTAATGGTTGATATTTAGACAGCAATTATTATTATAATAATCACAAATGAAATATTATTATCATTTTTAAATATAAATGTTTTATCAATAAAAGTATTTCTATATTTATACTCAAATGAGATTATATTTAAAACCGTTTTTCTCAAATCATATCAATTGAATTGATAACTTGTATTAAAGCTTTTTTTCTCTCAAACAAAACTTTGCATTGACTGACACAAACTTTACGAACGAAATAAAATTTATTTATTTATTATTAATTTAATATTTAAATTATTCAGAAATAAATAACAATTATTAAAAATTTAATGTATTTGTTGTCAATGTTTTCTATGTTGTCGTTAATAATATTAGGTTCACAAAGAGCTATACTGTGGTGGACGGCATAACACGAAATATCCGTCGCCGGTATCGATGGCCAACTCGACTACACCGTTGGTCACAACTACAACACCGACACGCAAACGATCTCATAATAGCGAGACCGACACTTTCAATGGCAGTCCTATTGCCGCTGCAGTGCAAAGACATTTGGCTAATAGTAGCCAATCGATGCCTAACTTTCCAAATATGATTTTCCCTAATAATATGCCATTCATAATGCCATCGCTGGCGAATGCGGCGGCGGCGGCGTCTGGCGCTATGAATAATACAAATGCGGCCTCACTTCTAAGTCAACCGGTCTATATCGCCATTTCCACGAATCCAATGATATTAGTTCCCTGTTCGTACAATCCCACTGCCGGTGGCCTCAGTTTACCGAATCTGACACAAATGGGATCGCCATTTACAGTATCGCCCGAAATGCTATCTCAACAAAATTTTCTGTCGACTTTAAATAATAATAATAACAATAATATTAGTAATAATATAATAACGGGAAATACGAGTCCAACAGAAGCCCATAACAGTAAAAGTCGTTTAGCAAAGTCTGTCACATCACCCGTCAAATCAAATGCCAATCAAATTGCTGATGAATTCCCGTTAGATTTGAGCTCAAAGCCTAACAAATTGATGAAAACGGCTGACACTAACAATAATAAGAGAGTTAAACAGCAAAACAAGTTAACGGATGTTAACGACTCAATGGACGAATGCAACACTCGGTCCACTTGTTCACCGCCAGTGGCCATACATAGCTCAACACCGTTGGTGGCTCCGGTACCGGTGGATGTCTATGTAAAACAAGGAAAAAGTCGATGCAATGAATGTAATATTGTTTTCTATAAACACGAAAACTATTTGGTCCACAAACAGCTGTATTGCGCTTCAAGAAGAATGGATGTCAACAGCAGTTCACCGGAACATAATGCCGAAGAATTGCGTCACAATAGTTCACCCGAACTGAACGCTGACCAGAAAGTGACGACACAAACTACTGGCAGCGCATCGCCGGCCCGATCGACAACAACATCGTCGCCAATACCTTCGCCATCAAACCCTCAGCCGCCAGTATTTCAATTTTATTGTGTGGCCTGCGGTATAAAGTTTACATCGCTGGACAACCTTCACGCCCATCAAACGTATTACTGTTTGAAGAGGACTTTGATTAGTGCCGGAGCCGTCAACAGTAACGACACTCAGTTAAGCGACAATTCGACCACTGATTATGTAATACCTGGTAATGATATGCTTATTGAATACCACTGCACCAAATGTAAGGCCACTTATATTAATGAGGAGACACTGGCCACACATGTCTGCTCTGAACTGAATTTACATAACAACTCTCATTCTTTACCAAAACACACAACCAGTTCGGGAACGGGCAGTAACCTAACGATGCAATGTTTCAAATGTACAATTTGTGGATATAAGGGACACACCTTACGCGGTATGCGAACCCATGTACGCATACATCAGGAAAAACTGCACGGGGTTTCCGAAGAGTCTTTCATTACATGCATAGATGAGGACATACCTAATAGAAGTGGTCGATCGGGTGGTTCTCGGCGACGGCGAAGTGTCGATCCGAGCAATAATAATAATAATAACAACAATAATATTAATAATATCAATAATAATAGTTCGGCATCTCTTCAAAATCAGTCGCAGGCGAGCAATGCATCGGTGGCCTCGAGTACTGACACCAGACTAAGTGAAACTGAAGAAAACAATTGTACGGACAGTGAGATGAAAGTGGAGCTCAAGAACGGCGACAAATCGGTGTTGAGTCAGAACGATATGACACATAACTGCAAGTTCTGCTACTATTCGTCTACTTATAAGGGAAATGTTGTCAGACATGTCAAACTGGTCCACAAAGATTTGGTACATTCGCCGCCATCGCAGTCATCGCAGTCGTTTGCGACGGACAGAGTCAAGAAGGAGTTTACCGACAATGAAGAGAATAGCCATCAGTCGGGTCTTTCCAGTGATCATCACAGCGACGAACTATCGGAGGATACACTAAAGCCGATTGCATTGATCAATAAGTCGGTGCCAAACAATGTGAAGAAGTCCGGGTCGCCGTTGAACAACATCTTAGTTAACTCGCAGTCAATACCATTGTTGACGAGTGCGGCCACCAATCAGGCATTGGTCAACAGTAACAGCACCACCACCGCCAACAACAACAACAATAGTACCGCCACTACCAATGGCATCAAGAAGATAGGGGCCAAATACTGTCGATCGTGTGATATATCTTTCAACTATTTGGCCTCATTTATAGCACACAAGAAGTATTACTGTTCATCACATAATACCATACAAGCAAACGACTCCTCACAAGTAGCTCTCAATTAATTAAATTAATAAATTAATTATAAAAATTTCATTCATTCATTAAAAATAAGAATAGTTTATATTTCAAATGACAGACAAACAAACAAATAAATAAATAATTTATTAATTTAAGGATTTTGTTTTTGTTTTATTTTTTTGAGTTTTTTTTATAGAGAATTTAGTTACAAAATAATATGAAATTATATATATATATATATATATATTGTATATTCATATCTCATTCAACAACAAAAAAAACTAAACCACAAATTTCTTGTGTCAACCAAAATAGTTTTTATTATGAGTTTTTAGTTAATAAAATAAAAATAAACATTTATTTATAAAATCAAACAAAAATAAGCAGATATATAGTAAATTTAATTGTTTTTTATATATAAATTTGTTAAACTAATTGTATAATTTTGTCTCTCTTTTTTTAAAAAAGCCATGAGATTTTATTTGTTATTATAATGTATACTTATATATATAATATATAAAAAATATATAGATTTTATAATTTGTAAATTAAGCTAATAATAATACATACATATTACAAATAATTGTGAACAAAACAAATTAATTTTAATTAATATTAAAAATAATATTAAAATTGTTAATAAAACTACATTATATTTACACACACATACACACATTAATACTATAAAAATTAGCTATAGTTAGATCATCTAGATTATAATTTCTAGCAATTACAAAACAAATAATAAACAATATAATTGATTAAAATTAGACACTTTATAAATAACATTATAATAATATATAATATTATAGTTGATAAACAAAATTATTGAAGATTTCATACAAAATTATATGTATGAAAATTATTATTATTATTATTATTATTTAGAATTATTATAAAAAAAACAACAAAACAATTGACAATTTTTGAGAGCTAACTAATTAAAACTGAATGCTAGTCTACTGGCAGTTATAGTTGATATGTATTGTGCAATAATAATGGCTTAATTGTATAAAAAAAATAATTAATACAAAAACTTAATAAATAATAAAAATTAACTGTTCATTACAAATATAAATTTGAAAATAATTATTTTATTTTATTTTAGACACACATTAGTTTGTTGGAAATTTGTTGAATAATTTTATTGAAGTTTTATATACTAATAAATTTTTGAGTGTATATTTTTTCATGTGTGGGTTAGTAACGAAATAATAAATTGATTGTCTGTGTGTGTGTGTGTGTGTGTGTGTGTGTGTGTGTGTGTGTGTGTGTGTGTGTGTGTGTGTGTGTGTGTGTGTGTGTGTGTGTGTGTTAAACCAGTGAACCTGTTGTGCGATTAGTGTCACCAAACGGATCTGCAATTGATATATAATAGTTATAATATTATATAACTTGCGAAAGTTTTCGATCTCAAGGGGGGTATAGGGGGTTGTATTAAATATATATATATATTATAAATATTAATATTAATTAATACAATTATAATATGAACTTTAGTTTGTCTTCATTGAGTGTATTATCAAACCGTTAATCTTTGACAACAATGTAGCGAAAAGTCTTAAACAGTAGCGATGGCGTCGGCAATGCTATTGATTACAATTATCTGGTAATTGAATTCAATAGTCACCACAAATAGTTGAAAACAGTTTTACTATATTTATCAAAATTATTAATAATGTAATCAATCATTTTTTTAAAAAATTAATTAAATGTATGATTAACCAAATAATTTTTACTCTCGACTGTCCAAAAAAATAATAGATAAAAATTTTATTTATCGTCAATTATCTGTCTAATCTTAATTTAATAAAAAAATAATCAATTATGATATTAATTTTGATCTTTAACTTTACAATTATTGATTACTTTTAATAAATAAATATACAGTTAATCAGATAATTGAAAACAATAATCGCCGTTTAAAACTTGATGTTATATGATATGACTTTACCACTAATACTCTAAATATTTTGTTCAATTCAATACTGTATTATATATAAAACACTATTTATTTCTCTAATAACATTAATTAAATTATATATATAAATACAGTAAACTTTATAACAGTATATATATTTATAAATATTTAATAAATCTTAATATAATATTTTTATATAAAAAAATTTCATTAATTTTTAAAACATTTGAATTAAAGCATTTCAGAGTAGGAAAAATGTAAATAAATATCAAACTAAATAATGGAAATATAATCTCTTTAAAAAAATCTACTAATATTAATCAATTTTGTTTGACAAGATATGTAAAGTTATCCCAAAATAATGTTAATATAAAAAAAATTGTGTTTAGAAATTCATAATTAAATATACAGTATATATAAAGTATATGTTTATATAAAAAATGCCGATTAAAAATAACTAAAATATAAAATAATAATTAAAAACAATATATTTAACAATTAAGTCAACTATAACTTGGGCTTAATTGAGGCCACATTAGGCTTATCGTTGACAAACACTTTCCACCAATCGGGTCGCTGTGTAGCTCCCGGTGCCGCCAGAATCGACTCGTATATGTTTTTATAGATTTGACCGTCAGATTTGCCTAAAGCTGAATTGAGCATAAAATCTGTCGGTGCGATGGCATCTACCAGAGCGACGGCATCGTCCTTAAGCTGAGTACATAATTTAAGTATCGATTGACGTATGTATTGAGTGGGCGCCGGACCCACACAATAGCCGCCTTCATATAAAGTAGACAAATGCTTCTCCAATGACCACAAACCGTAGAGCGAACCCAATCGGTTCAATACAATGGCTAACGATTGGTCGGGTATTTCGTTTTGAATGAATGTATTCCATCGGTCGAGAACTACCTCTTCAATGAAGGCCAACGATAGAGACCGACAGTAATAGACCTGACTATTAGTCTGAGCGGTAAACAAGTCTTTTCCGGAATCCATTTCGCGTTTCATTTTGCTAACCGAAGCCTTAAGCAAATAGCTAACTAGGAATCGGTAGGCATCGAGAATGACATCCATACGCATGACATCATCGGGTGTCGATAAATGCATTTTCTTAGCTAAGTGTACATCCATTTGGTCTAAAAAGTCGACGGATGCAAACTGTGAGGTAAAAGGTCGGCCCTCTTCTATCTTTTGTTGCCATAAACGCAATAAATATCTACTGCACTGCATCTGTAGGACATTATTGTCGCCTTCATAGGTATTGTTGGCGTCGTGATCGTCCCGGAGTTCACCCAAACCGGACGCTTTAAGATATCCGTGACCACCACACGCTTCACGGCATTCTTGAATGGCATCGCGACAGATCCAACCGGCCAACGGTTTTGCGGCACTGGACAGGGCATGTATTTCTTGTCCCTGTTCTGATAGTTCGGGTGATGTCGTGCCGAACAGTACTGAGATTTGAAAGTTCATAAAATCCTTGTGAAACGTATTGCTAAAGTTGTCGACCACATAACAGGCCGCCAAATACGGCAATAGACGCCATTGTTGCATCTGATACTCGAGAACCGGCAGCTCTTCCTTCCCAATCGGACCAAACTGTCTGCGAGCGGCTGAATATCTAATGGCAATCGGCAAAGCCTTTTGCATATTAGTGATGGCCATACCAATGATGCCAACCCTTCCCATTGATAGTGTGCCTAAAGTAACACCCATTCGTTTTTTGGTGTCTTTAATTTCCGACACATAAGTGCCATCTTTGTCCACATCACCGATTCTGTTCATTAGCAGATCTTTAGGTACTCTATAGTTCTTGAATTGCAGAAATCCATTGTCGAGTCCATTGAGACCTATTTTAGGTCCCATATCTCCAACAATAATTCCGGGATACGGTAGGAGTGTCTTCGGATCACGAATGGGCGCTATAAAGGCACTCAAACCGTGACACTTGCCGTTGACATATATCTGGACAAAGACAACGGCATGAGTAGCCGTTTTGCCCAAATTTCCTGACCATACTTTCGATGCCTCGAAATTGGGTGTATTCAGTATAAACTCGTTTGTTTTCGGATCAAAGTCGGCGCGAGTGGCCATAGCCTTAGTATTGCTTCCGTGAGCCATCTCTGTCAATGCAAAACAGCCCAACGCTTCGAACTCCATGAGCTGATCCAATACACTCAGATGACGACTAGAACCGGCACCCCGTAGACTAACGGTAACAAACTCGTAGGCCAAAAATTTCTTAGCCGACAGAGACCAGTCGTACTGACCCAATGTGTTGTACATGTGCTGCGTTAGCAACGGATTGGCCATAAACTCTTCGTCGGGCAAGAAGTCATACTCCATAAGTCGTTTCATACGTTTCAATGTTATCTCCCGGTGTTCGTCGCGTGTCATCTCTTGGCTCGGGTGGTGAGCAAACAGAGGATCCGCTTCCAGACTACGGGCTATTCTTAGCTTAAATCTGATAATGTCTTCGCCCTCCAGAAAGAGTTTCATTTTTCGCCAATCAAACGACGCCCGCCTTCGGTACTCATCCAACGGTCCCGACGGCCAGTCAGGTAACAACTGCTTGATCTCATCTGTGATCGTAATATCATTGGACGACTCGGTGGACATTCCTTGCATTTCTTATATTTTTTTGGTGACGTTTAGTGTCTTTTATTTGTTGAAAAAATAACTTTTAAAAGGAGAGACAAATAATTTTTATAAAAAAGTATTACAAATGTTTTGATTGAATGACTATTAAATTTTTCCGTTCAATCAATTTTGTTGACACAAAACATATAGTGATATCGGGTTTTTATATATATTTTATTGGACTTATATTATTGCACAACAAATATAATGGATTTTATGTCTTTAATAAAAACTCAATTAAATAATTGCCACTCATTTGCCATCAAATATTATCGTATTTTTTAAAAAAATAAATAAATTATATGATAATATACATGTATATAAAATACAAAAACATATTTATCTAATCACCCATGCTCAGTTTTTTTGTTGTTGTAAACAGTCATATATATATGATGTAAATATAAACTACTTTATCATACAGTATATATAACAGCAGGGTATAACTCATATGTTAGGCAAACAGCAAATTATATAGCAGTTTAAAGTTAAGTAAAAGTCAGTTTACTATTAAATATTTAATAAAACTATTGAATTGTTATTATTTTTTTGACACACAAACCAAACACACATTAAAGTTAATTATTGAACTAAATTATAGTTATTGCAAACTTCAAGCCTACTATCCTAATCTCATCAATTGGCTATCATCAACAACAACAAATGTACACATAGTTTGAAGATAACATTGTGTGGCAAACAAAATAAAATTTTTATAAAATAAGAGCATCTATTCAACAACAATTTTAATAAACAATTTTTTTTTTAAATAAATATTTCATTATAAACAATATTAGCATATATCCATACTATATCTACTTTAATTTTTTAAATATCTAATTTATAATGAATATATATATATAATAGTAATAATAATTTAACAAATTTTAATTTAATGATGATTACCTATTTTTCAATATATGTTGGGCACAATTATCGATATCCAAACAAACAAAAATTTAATACACGACTCATATACACACTAAATAAAAGTCAATAGCACTTGACTATTGAAAATACAGTGACTCTCCAACACAGGTATTTAATAATATAATAGTAAAAACTTTTTAATTTATTTTTTAATTCAGTCAAAAATATAATATAATAAAAATGATTACTAAATTGAATTGAAATACAAGTCTATTGGTGTCAAACGGAACCACTTTTTGTGAATGTCTTTAAAACTATGTATTTTATAATTCAATTTATAGACTGACTATAATACTGTATTTTAATACAATGTTTTTAAATGTCTATTTTTGGGATCAAATTTTTATTTATATGTTTTATATATATATATATATAATTTTTTCCCAATGGCTAACGTTTCTATGTTCACGACTACTAAATTGAGTTGAGTTGTTGTTATGTTTGGTATTTTGATTTTTATAAACCGGGAAATCGGGAAAACTAGTTATAACTTATAAGACTATGAAAACTTGTTTAACAACTTAATTATATATATCTGTTATAAATACACAATACATTTACTACAAACAAAATATTTTTTTTAATCATTGAAATTATTACTGAAATAGTTTGGTGTGTAATGTCTATTGAATAATATGAGAATAACTTGATTGGTTGAAAACCCTTTTTCTATTATTATTATTATTATTATTATTATTATTATTATTATTATTAATATTATTATTATTATTATATACAGTACTATTAATGTAATTATTATATAATATCTTAGTTTAAAACTTTATATTATAAATTATTTGTTTAGCATTTGATAATTAGTTTTTTTATTGCTATAATAAATCTATTAAAATTTTTTTTTAAAGCAAATCACACTTAATTGTTAAATGAGACATTAATTAAAAAAAATTATACGTAAGTCCATATAATAAGTTTTAAATAATTATAAAATTTATGATAAATTTCACAAATTAAATTTTTGAAAATAAAATTATGTAAAATAAAAAAAGTATACTACATATACAGTATATATATATATATATATATATATATATATATGATAAAATTTGACCATAATTTATTTTTTTGCCTTATTTAAGACAATTAATAAAAATTACTAAATTAAGATAATTTTTGTGAGAAATAGGTCTAAAAATATACATTAAATTAAAAAAATAACTGTTTCTAACATAATTATAATAAGTGCCTGATCAATTTTATGACACTTTTTTATATATATTTTTAATTACATTATTTTCAAGTTTTAATGATAAACTCTTTAAACGTTTTGCTGCTAAAATATTGGTTAACTTGTTGAACAAATTATCTAAAATTAGTTATATATATATATATATATATATTATTTAGGTAATAAAATAACTAAAATGTGACACAACAATAGCACCATAATTTTAAAATACAATCTTATTAGACATTATTTAGTAATTTTTATTTTAACTACAACAAATATTTTTTTTTATTATTTTTGCATATATTATAATTCAGCATAAATAATTAACTAACAAATAATTTTTTAATGTTTAAACTTGATTTAATCTAATAAACTATTTTTACAATATTATCATTAAATACTAAATCGTATTAATATTTAGATTTATTATCATTTAAATATAATTAATGATAGTAAACAAATCAGCTCATTTAAATTAGTAAAATCTATGATGTGTTAAAATTTATATATTTTTTATATTTAAATTATACAAAATTTTTAAATTAAATTTTGTTTTTCATATCCTTTAAGGAATATAATTCATAATTTAAAATTATTATCAGTTATACAATAGCTTTTAAATCTAAAGGTATTATAAGGTCGACAACAATTAAATTTTTTAATTGAATTATTAATAATAATAATATTGATATTTACAATTATACTGTATATAAATATAGATTATCTGATAAGTTTTTATACTGGTATAACTTTTTTTACAAAATATGTTCAAAAATTACTGGGAATTTTAGAAAATATTAAAAATCCCAAAACTCATAAAAAAATTTTATTTACTTTTTATGGTAAACTAATTGTTATTATTATTGTTAAATATTTATTTAAATCGTGGTTACATACAGTATTCAATAATAATAATAAAAAGTATAATCGTTTCACACTTTAAGATAAAATTTTAATTATATTATTTAAATTCACTTAAATATAATTAATGAGAAATGAATAAATAAGATAAAAAATAGTTAAATTGATTAATGGCAAATATTAATTTAACTTTTAATAACTTAAAAGTAAATAAAATTATTAATATAATAGAAATATTATTTAATCAACAAATCTTTATAATAACTTTTATTGTAATCTTTGTTAAATATTTTATTAAATATTTTTAAAAAATACTATTGAATATTACATTTTATTTGATTATGTAATATTTATATCTTAAATATAATTGTCACAATATTTTGCAATTTTTTTTAATGAAATATACTTATCGTACATTATTTATACAAATTTTAATTTAATTACAGGTAATTACCGTAATAATAATAATAATAAATTTTAATATATTACTTATCAAATAATAAATATAAAAATCATTACTAAAATTATTTTTAATTATTTTATTTAATTAATTAATTAATTTTTACTAATTGATAATAAATCTCCTAATTATTTATATATTAATAATAATAACAGTTATTATATAATCATAATTAAAAATTATTCACAAAAAAACTACTAAAATAAATGAAAATAAATAAAATTATTATTATTATTGAGTTTAAAATGTCATCACAAGACAACTGATGACATATTTCAGTGGATATTATGACCGATTAATTGGTGGAGCCTTTTGTATGGACAGAAAGGTGTCTTCTTGGTTATCGATTTCGGGATTCAGCGGCGGTATGAAAGCGCCGGCACAGACCCGATGATCGGCGCACATGAAGTTATAGGTAGGGATGGCGTGTTTGGTCGGCATTATCTCGCAGTTGATCTTCATTTTCAACAAAATACTTCGCAACCGTCGCTGAAGATCAACGTTAGTCTGATTTTCGGGTACGTCGTCGCCGACGCCAATGATGAGCGCTTCGAGTCGCGGCTCAATCAACATAAACAATGATAGAGACTGTTCGTGAATGTCATCGACGGACTCAATGTCCCACTGGAGGACAGTCGACGGAAACAAAGCAATGGGTCCGTAAGCGAACAGACTATTGGACAGCCGAAAGCCACGCTCGGAGTACGAGTCGACTAATAGGAAACCCAAGTGATCTTTATTGATAATCGTGACCGTTGTCTTGCCGTCGCCTTCATAGCTGCCGCCGCCCATCGGTGGCATCGATCCCGGAGCCGGCGGCGGTTCGCCACCCGAAGCCATTCGGTACATACACTTCATCGCCGGTTGTCTCATACGTCTACCGATGACCGCCTGTCGGCAAATGCCGGCCAGACTACGAAGTGAAGACATATTTGTCTGTCTGTTGTTTGTCGTCTCTCTCTCTCTCTCTCTCTCTCTTCAGTCTTCAGCTATTGATTTGGTATTTGTTGTCAAAAAAAACGACAAAACTTTTACCGCAAAACTCAAAACAAACACATGTTTTGTCATTCAGTTTAATGTTTAAAAAAAACAACAATTATTTGTAGCAATACTTGTGATCGTAATTATTGAATCAATTTATTTGAATATATAATTGAAAAAAACAAACAAACATTTATATTATTTATTAAATTAACACAAAAAATAATAATTATTATTATATTTATAAAACTTTTTTTTTTTTGATAAACTAATCAATAGTTAAAACAAAATAAAAATTTTGTTATTTAAAAATAATGTATAATTATTATCAATGTTTGTATTGACATCAATGAGATGGCAGTGTATTTGCTATTAGTTTTTGGATATTGTATTTAATTACTTTAAATGTATCACTCATTGAAAGCACATGTTTTTATTAGTATATAATAATAACAAATAAATTTTTAAATACAATTTTTTTTTAAATCATAACATATGTGACACAAACAACAAACTGTATAATAATTTTTTTAAAAATAAATATTTTAAATGTCAAATGTTTTATTGATTTTGATTAGTAATTAATATAATGAATTTATAATTATTTATTTTACTTTTTTTAAAAAAAAAATATTGTAATTATTTTTTTTATATATATATTATATAACATTTAATTATTTGTCAAATTATAATTGTTTTAATTTTAAATATTAATAGATAACTGTGTGAATCAATTTTATTTTTTTTAATCATATAATTTTGATTAATTGTATTAATTTTAATAGAGTATCTATTGTACAGTTTATATACATTATATATAAAGTTATATATTTGGTGAGTATTTTAAGTAATAATAATTATTTTATGTTAGTTTTTAATAGATATAAAACACTATTTTTATTATTTTATTTATTGCTTTTAATTATAAATCTTAGTAAATGTTTTCTCACCATTCAATTACATGCATACAGACAAACAAAATAAAATTTATTTAAAACTTTATACAAAAAAATAAATAAAATAAATATCAATATTTTATATATACTGTACGGTATATCTACTGTTTAATCTCATGAGAATTAAAAAAATGAGTTAATTGTATAATTTTTTTCCTCTCTTTATTTAAATTTAATTGATGTCTCAATTAAAGTGGTAAATAGACATCATTTTATTTTGACATTAAATTTTATTTTATGTATCTTTGTGTATATAGTTTGCGTGTTATTTGTATTTAAGTTTAAATTTATTTGAATATAATATGACCCAGGGGTTATATACAATATATATATATGGACAATGTGTTACATAAAAATTATATATATAGGCTATATATATATATATAATTTTTATGTAACACATTGTCCATTGTAATTATTTTATGATTTTATAATTAATGATTTGACATTTACCTGATGGCATGCATTTGTTATAATTATCATTAAATCACAAACAAAACTGTGTTTTTATTATTATTATTTTTAATTATTATTTTATTTGTTTGTTTTTTGTGTTGCTTTTTTAAAATTTTAAATATTTTTTTTTATTCGTGTTGATATAATTTAACTTTTAATAATTAGTTTACTTTTATATATATTTACAATAATCTCTCATTTAGTCATTACAGCAATAATAGTGTTACAATTAAATACAAACTTAATTACAATTTATATATATATAATAATAATAGTATCACATGTTTTCTGCAAAATAAACAATAAATCAAAACTAAATGCTATTTTAAGCTCAAATAATTTATAATAAATATATTTAAAGGATTTTATGTCTGATTTTCTCATTATTAAATTTATAATATTAATACATATAATGTCTTTTTTGGGAATTGACGACCAAAAAAAAGTGTAACAAATTATAAATCTATTTATTTAATATTATTTTTTGTTTTATATGTTTTTTTGTGTACATTTCATCTCATAATATCTCAAAAATTGAGGCAATCGTCGAAAGATTTGTTTAAAGTTTTTTTTAAAATTTCATTTATTTAATTATATATTTTATTTAATGAGAAAAATTTTACTTTTATTTATTTTTATTTTATTTTCTCATCAGTTACTGTTAGTTTATAATTGAAAAATAAGTTTTGTTTATTAACAATAATAATAATAATAGTTTTTTTTGTTATTAATTATACATATAATTAAAGCATTTATTTAATGTACACCTTATTATTGTTTGTATTTACTGTTGATTGAGTTTATCGTAGTTTTATATAATTGTATTTCAACCTCATTTTAAGTTGAAATAAAGGTTACAAATAATTTTATGACTAAAACATAGTTAATTAGATTTAATATCGTATAATCTTAATGCAAATCTCATTGTTTTTAGGCATTAATATATTAATATATCTTTTTTTTGTCACATTGTCTGCCATTCAAACATTAAAGAGATATAATGAGTTCATCTTTAATACCCAACGATAATCATATGTATAATAGCGTTGACTATTGGGATAAACGATATGAAAGTGTCGGTCAAAGGGCTGACAGCGATAATGAATCGTATGACTGGTTAGTTGACTATTCAAATATCAAGCATATCATCAACCAATTGATCCCAAAGACAGCATCACTGCTAATGTTAGGTATGATATCTCATCATTTTATTGACATATTATAAATTTATATAGCATTTCATATCTATATTGAATTTATTATTAATAATATTATTATACAGGTAGTATACTAATAATTTACCAAATAAAATTTATATATAAATTATATATATAGTATATAAATGTTTATTTGAATTTATATTATTAAATACCATATTTGGAAGTTTCATATAAAATTATAGAGACATAATATCTATATATATATATACTTGAAATGCAAATCAAAATTATAATAATTACAAACTCATTTAAATAATTATAAACTTAAATGAATTGATAGATTAAATAAAATAATAATAAATGTTAGCTGTTTTATTTATTTTAGCACAAATACCCCAAAATAAATAAATGTTTAAAAAAATGTTATGTTATTGGAAAACAAGTTTTCATATATATATATAGTAACTGTATATTACTCGAAATAATAGTTATTATTATTATACAATAAATAAAACAAATAATAATTGCAATATTTATCTTTCAATGTTATTTTTCTGTTAATAATTATTATTTTTTATAATATATAACTCATAACTAACATGTCTTGGGCTAAACATTTTGCACATTTAATTTTACATAAAATACTCGTTTATTAAAAAACCCAAAATTTTAAAGCAAAAAAAAATGAGAAAATAAAAATATAAAATAATAATTTTTCAAATAACATATACGAACTGTGCTTATAGATTGGTTTGAATCATATTAAATAATAAACACTTATTTTGTAGGCCATAAAAAGTTTTTAATCGTCAAAATTTTTACTGAAGTTTGTTATTTTGTTATTAATATTAATATTATTACTAATATTACTATAACTAAAATGTATAAAAGTATTAGTAAATTGCATTTAATAAATTCAAACACTAAAATGAATTAATTTTTTTTCAGTAATTTTTAAATGTTTTATTCCGAGCTTCTATTGGGTTTTTTTTTCTCTAAAAAATTATATTAAATAAAACGATTAAAATTTTGTTTGTTGGTTGTACTTAAAATTTATTTAATATTTATAATTTTGTTTTTTTTTTGTTAAAAAGTCTTTTGTTTCTAAACTTATAGATTAAACACTAAATAACTTGTTGTCGTCAGTAATAATAATGAGACTTTAATTTTTTAATTTATTTATTTGTTTGTTTAAATTTGAAGAGAAAAATAGCATCAAAAGCTAAAAAATGTTTTTATTTATTACTTTTATTTCAGTATAAATATTGAGTATTAAATTTTTAGTTAGTTTTAATCCTAATATATTTTGTTGTTGTTGTTTCGTTAGCCGTATTTTTTTGTTTGTTGCTGTTTTTAAATATATAACAAACATATTATAATAAACAAACAAAATATGATAAAACAAATTAAGTTTTTCGATTTTATTAGCTTTTAATAGACGATAATATTTCCAAAAAAATAAATAAATAAAAAATTTATTTCCATTTATAGCTGTGTTTGCTATAGTTTTTTGTTTTGTTTAGTATAACATTTATATACAAGTTTTATTTCATGTCTTAAATAAAATAACAAAATAAATATAATGCGAAACACAAAAACTACATTTCTTAAAGTTTTTTGTTTAGAGTTTTATTTTATTTTTTTAATTAATTGATTTCTGTTGATCTCTAATGGGATTTTTAACTTTTTTATTATTATTATTTGGTTTTCAAAGGTTGCGGTAATAGTCTATTAAGTGAACAAATGTTTGCCGACGGGTATTGCAATATTGTCAATATTGACTACTCGTCGCCGGTTATCAAACAAATGTCCAATCATTGCGACAATTGTCGGCAAATGCAATGGTCAGTCATGGACTGTCGTGAGTTGACGTTTGCCACCGAAACATTTGATGTGGTCATCGAAAAGGCCACTATAGACGCCCTGCTGACCGAAGAGACCGACCACTGGAATATATCGGACACTAATCGACAACAGATCAGTCGTGTCTTACAAGAGGTCTATCGGGTGCTCAAAACTGACGGCCAATTCATATCGATATCCTTTTATGGATCGCACTTCAGATATCCATTATATAAGAGTTGTTTTGAGTCAAACACCGATCGATTGGCAATGAAAGCCATACATGAAGTGTCCGCCAGTTTTCACTATTACTGCTATCAACTGATTAAATGTGTGAATAAAACTATTGATTTTGAGCCCCAAGTCTACGAACCACCGAAAGTGATCACTACTTGTTTGAGTGGCAATTGTCAGTCAAATCAACTAATAGATGATAAGTGCCTCATAAATGCAAATCCAGTTCAAGATGAGAGTCATTATCTATTAAATATTAACCTCTAAAAGAGTCAATTAGTAGTGACTATACTCTATAAGTTAAAGACACTAAACACATACATACATACATTCATACATACACTACTAATTACAGTATGTTTATATACTATACATATCTTAATTATTATTACTATGAACTCATGTTAAAATTGACGCTATTTTTATAGTTTTAATTATCAAAACAGTTGTCATTTATTATGATATCATATTTCCATAAATTAAAATTATTATAGGTTTGTGGCTTAAATGATGATTAAGTCATCAGAATTATTTTTATTTTATTTTTTTTAAATATTTTTTTATTATTTGTATTTTTATATATGTATTCAATTCTAAGCAATCAACAAATCTAGTGTCGATCAAATGCTATTAAACCCAATAAAAATATTTTTAAAAATATTAATTATTAATTCATTTAATCTTAATTATGTTTTTCTTTATGACATTAATCTCTATATTAAATGTTTTTATTATTTTGTTTTTCAGTTTAGTCATATATTTTAATGTATTTAATTATTTAATGCATTAATCGTATTGCAATTTGAAAACATTTTGAATTTTTTTTATAATAATTTTATTATTCATTTAATTCTACATATAAAATAACATTAAAATTCAAATATTTGTTTAAAAATTATGTATAAATTATAAAATCATTTTTTAAATATATAATAATATATTAATCTTTTTATAAAAAGGTTTTGCGTGTTTTTAACTAACATTTTCATTGAAACAAAAAAAAGTTTTACACAAAATAATAGTAAAATAAAGAAAGAGAGAGAGAGAGAGAAAGAGAGAGCACGCTTTATATGATATATCATACGAGAAACTCCTAATCTTTATTATTCATCGATTTTTTTGGTCGACTCTCTCTTATAAAGCGGTGAAAATACAGGCGATGGACACGTATTGTCCAGCGAGTCGAGTGAGCACAGGTCGGGCATCGATTTATTGAGATACCATTCCTGTGCATACGAGCCGATTCTGGTCAGACCATTGAGGTTTCGTACAATTGGTTTGCTGTCAATACTCCAAACCGATTGACTTTGACTGCCAAACATATTATTATTATTATTACTATTGATTTTTTGTTTGGTCACATCCACAGCCCTTGTATTTTGTGGCACATCTTTAGACTTACGGGACATATAGTTATTAATAATATTACTACTGTCCTCTCGTTTAGTATTTCTATATTTTTTCGTACGACTTCTGGACCTACTGTTGTTTCTAATGGCCGCCAAACTGACATTGGCTTTACGTTTGTTGATAACACTGGCCAACTTTGAATGCGTGTCCACTACATTAGTAGTGGACGACTCGGAGCTGGTATTGCTTTCGAGACTATCACTGCTTTGCGTGTGATATAGTCGGCCACCTCTGGCACCACTGTTTGCAGCCGACAGGTGGACACCACTGACACCGGTATGTTTGCTCTGGTGTTCATCGATTCTGGTGAGTGAACCCAACGATTGGCGACTCGTCGACGATGTCAATAGATTTGTTTCGCTGACTGTCTTTCTTGGCTGAGATGGTTTGTTGCCATTTATTTGGTTATCAATTACTGATCGTTTGTTTTTCACAGCATTTGTATGGTTTGTATAGTTAGCAATGTTTTGTTTAAAACTAGTCATATGATTGCCATTGATTTGATTGTAAAGTATTGAAGGCATTGAATAAATATTTGAATCAATTTTATGAATGTCTGAAGTGCTGAACGATTGACGACCTTTTGGTTTATAATAAACGTTACTCTTATTGACTGATTTGCCAACAATAGAGCTGTCATTTCTTTGCAGATAATTCATTGCCAACACTGAAGAGCTCATGTGGGAGGCGTGGGAGGCGTGACGCTTACCTCTAGAGTGTTTGTAACCTTTTGTACCCGCTTTGGCAACTGAGGCACTGTTACGGCTATTATGGCATTCAAATGCAAGATTATCATAGATATGACTTCTACTGCCCGTCTTATCCATTGTATACGATCCCGACGATGATGTCGATGACGACGACGATTCCACAGATGTATTGTCATTGCAATCATTTATCGTTTCGTCATTAAGTGTCCGATCTGTTGTCGGTGTCTGAGAATCGGAGCCTTTGGTAAACTCGAAGTCATCGTTGGCTAATGTGGTAAATGAAACGCCACTCATGGATAAGCCGTCAATACTGGCTGTGCCGATACTTTTAGGACCATAATTATGTGTAGACATTGAATTAAATGTCGATATAATACTATTAGTGTTTTGTATATTTGCATCATTACAGGCATCCTTCCCATCCATACTAATAACTAAATCATTTGAATCATTAAGTGTTTGTAATGTCTGCTGTAATTGTCTTTTGTCGGGAAGAGTAGACCTAACACTAAATGTTTCCGATAGTGTGGCATAAATGTGGTCATCATTTGCATACTTAGCTTTCGATGATTTATTATTATTGTCAATTAAATTTGAATTGAATTTATGTTCAAAATGTTTGCCACTATTAGCACTGTACCAAATCTTACTATCATTATTGGATGCCTCTCTGTGCTGTTGTTTATCGTCTAAACTTTTGTCATCTGATCCCAGCTTCTGTATAGAGCCAACAGAGCCGGCAAATGTTGACATAGTTGTGTTGTTTTTATAGGACTGAGAGTATGGATTAGTCATTAAGTCCTGACTATTGCTTGTATTATATTGAAGGCCAGGTTTGTTGACAGGTATGACTTTGTCGACCCCATAAATACTTAGAAACATGTATTTGTCGTTACTTTTCGGTGATTTTGATTTTCTTAACGATTGCAGACCATTATTGTTTGTCCGCATAAATGACTCATTAATATTAGTTCGTCGATGCTTTTCATTGGCCCTCATTGACGAGCGCCGGTAGTTTGACACTACTGTCAATGGTGAAGACGATGAGGTATTTAATTTAGCTGTCGGTATGGAACTCATAGCACCGACATATGGCTTATCAATGAGTGCGAAATCATTGAAATACAAAGGAAACGGTCCTTCAATACCTGTATGTTTCAAAAGATAGTTTTCAAAATATAATAGTTTGTTAAATCATTTATTTTTTTTGACTGACATTTAAGACAAACAACAAACTAATGTTTAGTCTAATTGCATAATAACTTCAATAATTATTATAACAACAATAATGAGATAATAATCTTTTGAACTCAAGACATATAAATTAAAAGTTAAGGAAAACTTAAACTAACAAATAAATAAATAAAATAAAAAGTCTTAACAAATAAAATAAAAGATATTTTCAATAGTTTTTTGAGTTCATATTAATTAAGTAATTGGAGTAATCATTATTTACAAAAAGGGATTGCCTTTACATAAATACAATTAAATATATATAGAGAGAGGACTGGGAGTAGAAAATATGCTTAATTAATGGCATAATCAATGAGCATATGATTGATAGATAGACAGATAGAAACAAAAAAATCATTTACTTTTACTTATATCAGAGCACCGGTAGCTCTTTCTCCGGAAACTTCGTTTGACGGCATCTCTAAATGGGTCATCCGTTATGTATAATGCTATCGGAAGGAGTATGCCTTCAATGACACCAAACCAGATGACAATGTTGTCGTGCAATGGATTCCAGAACTGGATGACCAAACCGGCTGTACTGAAGGCCTGTGCGATCACAAAAAATAAAGGAAGGGAACGGCATATTACCATCAAATATGATAATTATGATATATCATCAAACAATTTGCAACAACAATCACAACAACAACAACTACAACACAATTACTAAAACAAATTAGTAGTAAAAGAAAATTTCATTTGTAATTAAGTGTATAATAAGTTTAGTATTGAATAAAAATGATAGATTGAAAAACAATTATAGTGTAAAAGTAATTGATGACCACCATTAAGTGATACATTAAAAATGTTGAATTCAATATTATTAGCAATAATTTTTTTTACTCTTTTTTTTGTGTGTATGTGCTATAAGCCAAATAGATTGGAGATATTTTTGTGAGATAGGCTTATTAAAAAAAAATAAATAATAATAAATGATAATACTATGTATGGTTTCGGCAAAAATATTAAATAAATAATATTTGTATGTATATATAAATTTATATAAAAAAATAATAATAATTTTTTTTAATAATAAAATTTATTTTAGCGATGAAATCGTGATATAAATGGTAAGCGTGAGGCTTATAACTGTAAGGGCATTAACATCAGTCAAATAAAATTTATAAAAAAATTTGTTGTTTGAGGACTTTCTTTAAGGGGTTGTGTGTGTGTGTGTGTGTGTGTCTGTGAGTGAGTGTGTGTTGTATTTATTTATTATTATTTGCATACATTTCTCTAATAATATCAATCTCTACGGTTGAACTCTACAACAACTCAACAAAAATTTGTTTTTTCTCTACAGGTTATACCTGTGTTTATATACACATATATAGCATATAATAAAAATATATATATATGAAACAGTTTGCTCAGCCCCAACATCCCTGAGTGTCTATAAGATATAATTGTTTTCTATCAATTTTAGTGACAATTTTTTCTAACAAATTTTATTATACATTTCAATGATTTATTAAATTAATTTTGTTAAAAATTTGTTTACTAAAAAAAATAAATAAATTTATTTTTAAGTTTCCGATCGAGTAAAAAAATAAAAATAATTTAATTTATAGTTGTATGTTAATTTTTTTGTCAAAAAAAATAAACTAAAACTAAATTAAGTTATAAAATTATTACACAGGATGGTACATACAATAGTTTTTTGGCAAATAAATTAAGGAGTTCAACAATTGCTAACTGTGCTGACCACTGATCCAGTTCCCCAATTCTTTCTAAAATTAATAACTCAATTATATAAATATATATATTCTCTTACATTGAGTTTCAATTAAAGACTTCCTTATTATTTTTTTCCTATGCGTTCATCAAATGTATATATATTTATATAATATATACTGATAGGGGGGGGGAAATATAGTACACACTGTTTATAAACATATTATAATAATAATAAAATTCATAAAATGCAAACACAATTTTTTATGATAATTTGGATCTAAAAGTAATACCGTTCCTTAA